TTGTGCCCGTACCAGACCAGGACCAGCAACGGGATCGCAACCCTCAGTGCTGTGCCCACCCCTCGCTCAGCCAGTGAGCGGGAACCGGTCTGTATGTGGGATCCGAACCCTCGGCGGGCGAAAAAAAAAAAAAAAAAAAAAAAAAAAAAAAAAAAAAGACAAAAAAAAAAAAGAAATCATGTTGAAAAAATTATGTACATATCCTGACATTTATTCAAATTACTTGTTTAAAATAAATCATTGGCAAACTTTGGTACTTAACTTATTAGCAAGCAATTATTTGCAAGAGACATCTTCTGTTTGGGACACAGCAATATATTTTGACACCTTGGTTGATAAGCACTGCCCTGCTATATCACAAGCGTACACCTGAAATTCTAAAAGGCTAAGGTGCTTGGCACGGAGAACCAGAGAAAGATAATAAGAGAGAGAAATCCAGTTATTCTTAAACCAGTTCTCTGTTTTAAGAGTCTACCAATGAGCATTTTTCTGGAGGTAACTAATCTCCTACCTATGATCTATAAAGCCATTGACATTCCAGCAAGGTTTCATAGCCAGTACTCAAATTCGAAGATTTACGTCTCTCTTTAGATATAGAAGAAAATAACTTTACGTGCATTTTAAATATGAAGAGCCTGTATAGTATAGTGGTTGAGAGCACAGGCTCTAGCCCAGTGGTTCTCAACCAGAGATAATTTTGTCTCCTAGGAGACATTTGGCAATGTCTGGAAACATTTTTTATTGTCACTACTTGAGGAGAAAAGTGTTACTGACATTTGGTAGGTAGAGGCAGAGATGCTGCTAAACATTCTGCAATGAACAACAAAGAATTCTGTGGCCCAAAAGGCCAAGAGTGCTGAGGTTGAGAAAGCCTGCTTTAGAGCCAGTCTGGTTGAGTTTCAAATCACTTATAATCTGTGTAGCCTTTGGTATGTTACTTAATATTTTTATGCTTATTGTCTTCATCAGTAAAATTAGGATAACAGTACCCACCTTATTAATTTGTTGTAAGAATAAAATAAATTACATAAGGAGCTAAGGACAACGTCTGGAATGAAGCAAGTGCTCAACAAACGTTTGCTTTTGTTATCATTATATTCATTGAAAAAGAATGAGAAGAAATACACCAAAATTTTAACAGTGGTTATTTTCAGATGGCAAAATCATGGCTGATTTTTATTTTCATTACTTTCATAGTGCTTTATATTTTCCAAATTTTCTAGAACTATGTTTGTACTAATCTAATATCCAAAAACACATATTTTTTAAAAAATACAGTGGAAAGAACTTGTAACATAGTGGAAAGAGCACAAAATTAGAAAGACCGAATTCAGATCTTGGCTCCATTTGTGTATGACTTTGAGCAGATTCGTTAATCTCTCTGAGCTTCAGTTTCCTCATCGGAAATTGAGACTAATAATGCATATCAAACAGAGTTGCTATGAGGATTAAACATGACAGACATCCAGTACTTGGGAGAGTTTGCTGAATGAAAGGCTCAAGGAGATTACTGCTTTAAAAGTTTAGCCAAGGGAAAATGTCTCTACAAACAGGGCTATATATTCATGATAATTCCCCTCTTGCTTTTTCACTATCCTCTTGGAGAGAACAATGCCCATTTTATTCCATTTTTTTGGCCTTGGCTCATAGAGAAGCAGCTGCATCCACACTCTAGTCCTTCTCTCTATTCCCTCCCTTCCCTACAGATATACCTAACGAAGGAATTTAATAATTCCCTTAGGAGGGCCTGACTCATTTGGCAAGGTTTACTAGGGGGCAAGTTACTATGTCTGAAAGGCAGGACCCAGGTATCACCTTCTCATGTTCTTCACCCATGCTCACTGTCCCTCTTATTTCCTTTTACTCCTGGCCTCCAAGTTGAAAGTGTATCGGGCAAAACCTCTCCTCAAGGGGAAACCTCTCCACTTTCTCTCCCTCTGTTCTGTCTTCTTCAGTTCAGTCGGTTGAGCAGGTTACCCCCTTTAGATTCAAGAGGAATACGTAGGAAGCCCAGCAAGGCTTCCAGATCTATGCCTCTTGTGTGCACTAGCCCTTCTTATCCAAGAAGCCCTCATGTGTGCGGTAGGCATGCATCACTTGCCCAGCTGGTCAGTGCTTTCAGCAGAGCTGGTGTTCCCTTCTTTCTTTCTTTTTTTGTCTGCTGGCCAGGAAGGGGATCCAAACCCTTGACCTTGGAGTTACCAACATCACCCTCTTGTTTCTTTTGTGCACCTCACTCAGCAGGTAATACTAGAGGTAAGGAAGATGAGTGGTAGGATTCAAGGACCAATACATTATCCACAACCCAAAATCTTCTTGTTCTTAATGATTTCATTAAATGGAAAAATAATAGGTTACATTTGTGTCTATTATCCAGATGGTGACTATTTTAAGCCTCCTTAGCCTGCTAACTTGAATTTAAATCCTGACCAAACTTTCAAAACGCCATGAGATAAGTTTTTGCATTCAGGTCCTAACTGCCATGGTTTGGGAAATGCAATCTGGCCCTAACCCGAGCTGACACTCAAGATCCCAGAGTTCCCTAGGGAAGAGTCCTGCAGTCCTGTGAGCTCCCTGAACAGAGTTCTAGGGACTAGGAGCCAGACTGCATTAGGAGAGGACTGCCTGAGGCAGGAGTTAACCTTCTCAAGACATCTACTCTCAACCCAAGGTGAACTGCTTCAACATGGGGAGACAGTGCCAGGCAAAACATCAGAGGAAAATAAGACTGTTCAGGTTGCCTCCAATCTAGATATGAATAAAGATATCGGCAGAACTTCATTCTAAATGTAAATAAAAATGTCAGGCAGGTTGGCGATTCCCAGAAAGAATCATGGATACTTCAGACATAATTTTGCCAAGTTCTTTCTTACTACACATGTGCCATCTCACTGTCCTCCCTATAAACACATGCAAAACAAAATAGGCATGGACTCCCAAACTGGCACCAGAAGAATGCTGTCAGAGTCTCCCCATTCTTCATTCATAAGTGTGTATCGAGAGCTTACAATAAAGCAGGCCTGGTGCTAAGTACTAGAAATCCAAAGATGGAGGGATGTTGTCCCTTCTCTCAGGAAGCTTACTTCAGGTGACTATAACAGTATAAAAGTGTCACTTGTCCCAGGGAAATGTACATTTCAGCAGGGATCAAAGGTTTAAGCTAAAAGACTAAAGTTCAGTATGATAGGGGACATGATTACTCTACAAAGTACTGTGCAATGAAACCCTTATACATTCTTTTAGTAAAGAATTTCACAAATTTGAGATCTTTGTCCCTTTTCTTCCTTTTTATATCTTAGACCTAGTAACTCCTCTCAGTTTTCCCAGAGCTTATAGAAATAAGATCAGTCATCTTGTATTGTCAAGGAGCAGAAGGAAATCTACATAGACCAAAGAGAGGAAATCTTTATGTCTCAGAAATTTCCAGCAGCTAAAAAAAATTATTAACAAATTTCCTCTTATACTCTTAAAAACGTAAAATAATTTCCAAAGAGAAATATAGTCCTTTAAAGTATGATAACATTATTTTGAAACAGTAAATGTAGTTGGTTTGATATCATAGTTTGTGTGCACGATTTTAGAAGTTTTCAATTTATATATTTTATTTGGAGAACCAGGTAAGTGCTTTTAAAGACAATAGGCTTAGGCTGGTCTTGTTACTAGGTTCTGAGAATGGAAGAGTGTTTCTAGTAAATGTAGTTGGTTTGATATCATAGTTTGTGTGCACGATTTTAGAAGTTTTCAATTTATATATTTTATTTGGAGAACCAGGTAAGTGATTTTAAAGACAATAGGCTTAGGCTGGTCTTGTTACTAGGTTCTGAGAATGGAAGAGTGTTTCTAGGTTTGATTAAAAAAAAAAAAATCAATCATGATGTAATTGTAGATTTCTTTTTGCCCTTTAGACATCATTTGGTCACCATAGTAACACAGTGTTTTACTACCAGATATCTATACAGCACAAGGGAAAGAGAACAGGCAATCACTTACTGGGTTATTTGGGGGTATAGGATGTGACTATTGGGATAATCCAAGATTAAATATAGATTTCTCTAGGGATCTGCTTTAGCCAGGCAAGATGATTCAATCTTCTAGTAGTATCGGCTGAACAAAATTTGTAGCCAAATTGACTGTTGACATCATTTGAAATAATACAAGTAGGCAAGCAGCATAGCTCTGTGGTTAAGAGCATAGGCACTGGAGTAAACTTGGGTCCAAATTCTGGTTCTAGTGTTTGTTTGCTGTGTGACCTTGGAAAAGTTCCCTAACTTCTCTGTGCCTCAGTTTCTTTATCTCTAAAATGAAGGTAGTAATATCTCCCTAAAAGGATTGTGGTAAGGATTAAATGACTAATTACTTTTGCTTAGAATGTTGTCTTGCACACAGCAAGAACTTTATGAGTATTTGTTAAATAAAGGTTAAATAAAACTTAATTTGCTAGCTCCCCTCTTTGTGCTGGGTAGAAGTAGTCAGATACCAAGATTTGACTACTGTCCTAAACCAGAGCTATAAGCAATCACAAGCACTACTGGAACCAGGAACATCAGAAGGAAGATGATCACATAGCACAAAGGAACAGCACGCCTGCCCACTCAGGCTCCCTAAGCCACTGCCAATAACCTCTGGGAACATGGGCACAGAATAAGCAGCTGAAAAGGGGTGAAATTGGATTTTATTGTTACTGCAATAAAATCAGTTTCAGTAATATTATTTTTTTTCTCTTTCCAGGATTCAAGGAAAAACATCCTTTTAATTAGTGAGTGCTTTATTTTATTAATTACCACTGCACACAATTTACATCCAATTTTTCCTCAACAGGCACTTACTCTGTCAAATTATTCATTTTACAGAACTACCTAGGCATCTAACCTGTAATAAATCTAAAGCCTCTAAACAGCATTTAAACCAGGATAAAATCTCCAAATTTCCTGGAAAAAAAGAGGTATTATGTCCTCTGAGCCAAATTTTAGACGCGATACCTCGGGATCTCTATCACATACCTTCATCCGGACTGGATTTCAGAGACGGTCCCCTGGGGTCTTCTTGGTCAGGAATAGCCCTTGCAAAGGAGTTTGGAGAATGCATAAACCACCAGGAGGGCCTGGGAACACATTCATATCTGTCCTCTGCCTTCCCCTTGGCTCACAGCCTGCTTGCTCCCTGATAGGGAGACAAGATGACGCTGTGCAGGGTAGACTGTTAAACCATCTTCCCGCCCCCAGCCCCACTCTCTGGGTGCCCCTCCCTTCTCCTTTCCAAGTGTCTGGAATGTGTCACATGGGAAATGGATCATGTGGCTCAAGGGGAAAGTGTGGCCATCTTCTTTCTCCCTTCCCCCACTTTTCCTTTACAGAGCAAAGCAGCAGAAATCTCTGGCCTGATTGGCTCCGACCAAAAATCTCCATATGAAAAAGGGAGGATTCAACAATCCAAACCTCCAGCCTTCTTCACTTTCTTTTTTGTTTGGTTAGTTTTTACCTGAAGATTTTATCCTGAACATTCAGAGTTGCTTGGTATGGGAGGGAAATTATGCTTTCTCCTCAACCCCTCTTTCTTTCTCATCATCAGTACCCTGACATGGCAAAGTGTCCCTTAACCTCCATCCGGAGACCCCTCAGCACATCTGAAACAATCTAGTGTTCAGCACCACGGACAGCATTACACCCCCTTCAGTGCTTGTTAAAGACATTTGTCTATTTCACTCTTGGGTTACAAATATTTCCCTGTGGTCTTGTGCCTAATATAAATCACACCATATATTTAGGGCTCTGATTTCCCTTACTATCAACTTACTATTGCCTTATAAACACAAATATAATTTTTATATTTCATTAAACTCAAAAGACCATTCCATACCTACCACCCTGTCCCCATCCCACCACTCACCTTCACCCATTAAATATCGTCTGTTTTTTGGGGGAGAGGGAGATTTTCATCACACAGTTTACTATATGCCCATATACCATGCTCACAGACAAAACCACAGAAACACAGGAATTCTTGGGTGTACAAGTCTAGATGTCTTTAGCCCTATCCCTAGGCCTCAGGCAGGGCTGAATTAGAGTGGCAGGGAGGGAGCCTGGCTAGAGCTGTTTTGTGCAGGGTCTACCCTGCTTTGCTGACATCCCCGTTGCCATGGTGTTAGGTAACTGCTGAAGGGGATGATTTCTTTCAAAACCAGTCACCATGGGATCCTGCTGACTAAAGAAAGGAAGAGGGAAAAGGATTGAATTGCTGAGGAGGACTTTCAGTAGCATTTTCAGAGCTAAATTTACCTAATGGGCCCTTTCCTTTTAAGGGATTGTTGCTGATCCTGATGCTTGAAAGGATCCTAAGAACCAGTATGGACACTGTGATGGTAACTCTCCCCATCCTCCACTGCTTCTTTCCTCTAGGCACAACTGAATGAAAATGCCAGCTTCACAGAAGGACCATAAATTGCCATGAAAGAGTAGTGGGAAGAATACAGGAAATGTGTTTCTCCTCAGGTTGGGACTTCTGACTTTCAGGAAGCCATTTATCTAAGTCCCAACAGCCTTAATTGTGAGATACTTTAGGAGCACACGTGCTTGGTGACACTAGGAATAGTGTGATAACGCTTTACAATTTTATGGGAGAAAAGAAAAATATCTCTTAATGTGAGTTGCTAAATTATTTTAAATAAATACAGATTTGATTAATACTTGGATAGCATTTAGATTACCCCAAATCAGGAAGTTAAACTAGCTATACATTTGTCTCATAAGGCTGGCACATAACTAACTCTTTCTAACTCAGAATCCTAACCACGGCAATTCCAAATATTTATGCTTTGGAAGAAATGCTGACTTGCAATGTGCAGAAATGCAAACTTTGTAAGAAAAGAGGTGGCATACTGGAGCTGGAGTATAATTTCAAGAAACTGAAATTCCTTCCTGATTCAACATACATGGCTTAAGATGTATTTCCTAATTTTATTTTAGAAAAAGAGTCAGGTTAACTCTAGTTCTTCTGTATAAGACTCAGAGAAATTCTAACACTTGTCACTTTCAGGATATTCATTTACTGAGAAAGCTGGATATGTGTTTGAAAAATTCTTAGAGAGTCAGCAGGCTGGTGACTTGATATCACCTCTTCTCTTAGTCAATAATAAGAACAACAACAACAAGAACAACTAATATTTAACATGTGCCAAGTATTTACATACATGATGTCATTTAATCCTCCCATCAACCCAATGAGACAAGTATAACATTTTTGTTTTACAGATGAGCAAACCAAGGCTCAAGGAGGATAAGTAATGCGCCCAAAGCTGTACAACTAGTTTGTATGGGAGCTAGGATTTGGAACCATTTAATCTGACTCCGGAAAAGGCACAACGTACTATACTATTCTGTATCGTAAACAATGGATTAGACTAAAATAACTGATCAATTTATTGTAATGTGATTCACTACTATGGCCCTTTGCTTTAAATTATTTGAGACAAAAAAATGACCAAATTCATTCCTCTTAGGATGA